GCCCCTTATAGCATACTCTGAATCAAACGGTCAACCAAAGTTTTTATCTGGAAGTTTTGAAAAGATTACATCACTATTTGTGGAAGAAATACCCCAACTTGTGGCAAACAGGAGACTGGGTTTTCCACCATGACAATGCACCTGCCCACACAGCAGTTGCTGTTCAGCAGTTTTTGACCAAAAATGGCATGGCGCTCCCTATTCACCCAATCACGCCCCAACCAGCTTTTTTTGTTGTTTTCTTGGATGAAAAAAGTCCTCAAAGGGAAACGTTTTGCTGATGTGGAAGAGGTGAAACAAAAAATGGCACAAGCACTGAAAGGCATCAAAATTGACAAGTTCAAAAACTGTTTTGAGCAGTGGAAAAAGTGTCTCAATAGGTGCACTGCATCAAACAGAGAGTATTTGAAGATGACTAGAGTATAAACATATAAGAATAAATACACAATTTTTAATAAATAAATTCTGGTTTGGGGGAGGACCCCTCCTTGTATAGGAAAACAATTATTGAAATGCCTCAGATTTCTCATTAGAGACAAATGCAGCCAGAAAACAGTGAACAACATATTTAAAGTGCTGTAAGAAAAGAACTGGTGAGTGAAGAATTCCATACCCATTGAAAATACACTTTAGGAATAAAGGCAAAATAAAGATAGTCTAGAATGAAAGAAAACTAAGAAAATTCATTGTGCCAGTAGAAGTACATTAAAACAAATGCTAAAGAAAATTATCAAGGTCTAAAAAAAAGAAAAGAAAAAAAGGATTTCACTAACGGGAATCTTGAATCTTAAGGAATAAGAAAAGCAACAGAAATGGTAAATGTCTAGGTAAACATAATACTCTATTATATTCCACTAAAGTCCTTTAAAATATGTATAATTGTTAAAATAAAATTTATAATATTATGTGACAGAGCTTGGAACATATGTAGAAATAATCTCATGACAACTACAATATAAAATGGGAAGGGCACAGGGACCCATGCCAGGATAAGGTCTCTACATTTCACAGGAAGTACTAAAGTATCAACTCCAAAAAGTCTGATAAAATATTAGGTATGTATATTCCAATCCCTGGAAGTACCACACACAGGTACATACCACTGTACAAAAAAATACAGTTGAAAAATAAATAAATTAAAATAGAGTTCAACAAAAATATTAAAATAATCTAAAAGGTAAAATAGAGGAAAAAACAAAATGGTAGGCTACATCCAAATAAACCAATAATTACATTAAATATAAAAGTTCTAAACACTCCAAGTAAAAAAGACACTGTCACACTGAAGAATAAGACCTGGCCGGGTGCAGTGGCTCAAGTCTGTAATCCCAGCACTTTGGGAGACCAAGATGAGGGGACTGCCTGAGTCCACGGGTTCAAGACCAGCCTGGGCAACTTGCCAAGACCTCCTCTCTACAATAAATCGACAAATTAGCAAGGCACGGTAGCGCACACCTGTAGTTCCGGCTACCTGGAAGGCTGAGGCAGAAAGATCACCTGAGCCCAGCAGGTCAACGCTGGGGTGGTCGTGAGCATGCCACTGCACTCCAGCCTGGGTGATGAAGTAAGACTCCAACTCAAAAAAGATAAGACCCAACTTAGGCTATCTATAAATACCCCACAAATTAAAATATCATGACACAGATAAATCAAATAAAGTTCAGAGGAAGATATAACATGTAAAACTAATCAAATTAAAGCTAGAATGACTGTATTAATATCAAAGTTGACTTCAGAACAAATAAAATCCACTGAAATACACACACAAACTTGAGTTCATTCATTTTTTTCTTAATTTTCAAAAAAAAATTTATTCTGTAAGTATTATGAACTGAAGTTGCTCCCCCAACTCAAGAAAAATGTGTTGAAGACCTAACCCCCAATGTGATGGTATTAGGAGGTAGGGCCTTTGAGGGGTGATGAGGTTTAAATGAGATCACGAGGGTGGGGCCCCACAACGGGATGATGGGGCATGTGAGAACCACATGAGAACATAGGGAGAAGGTAGCTGACTGCAAGTCAGGAAGAGAGCCCTCACCAGGGAAATGAATTGACCAGCTCCTTGATCTCAGACTTCCAGTCTCCAGAACTGTGAGAAACAAAGTCCTGTTGCTTAAACCATCCAGTCTATGGTAGTTTGTTCTGGCAGCCTGAGCAGACTAATGTAGAAGGGAAATATCAATATGCAGAACTGATGTAGGAAATAAGAACTGAGTGCAGTTGCACAACTAGAGAAGAAAGGCATGTGATCAAAGATTAGACTTGAATTAAGGCTGTTATTTAATGGATCAAACAGTGTTAAGTTTATAATAAAATCCAGAGACCTTAATGTATATTGAAAAATGCTTACTGAAGGTGTTTTTCTTGTCACACTGTGCTAGGCACTGAGGACATAAAATAAATAAACCAAGGTGCCTACATTAAAGAAAACCATGAGCCAAGGAGGTGCTTTTTCATCAAATGAGAGAATATGTCTCTAGGGTGCTGCCTACTCCACTAAGCTGCCGATACTGAGAACTGTACTCACATATGTGAATACATTGTATACTGAGTGTAAGAACAGTATGTTGAGTATGGTAACCAAATATTTCAAGAGAATTCAATGTGTACAGTTCACTTGCATTTGGCTTCTAAAGGAACCGGTGTATACTTGAGCTACCTCATGAATTTCCTAGGCAACATATGGGGAGGGCTCAAACCTTTCAAACACATGAAGATTTGATTTTCTATCTAAAAGCAGCAAGATATTGTAATAGCAAGCTCTGAAAGAGAAGTGAATATGACGGGTGTGTTTGAATTGGTAGATAGAGTTTTGGGTACATGACTAGATTCAGAGAAACAAATTAGAGGAAAAAACCAAAAATTTCATTATTTTGTTTGTAGTGGTGATGCTGGGGAAAAATTGCAAAAAAGTCATTTATATGCATCCAAATATTATCAAATAAATAGGACTGATTTTAACCTCTAGGTTGCTTTAATAATTTGGGGAATTATTGATTAGCTGCATGGTAAATTTCAGAATACATTGTTTTATTTTTTTAAAAAACCTGGCATTTTTCACATGATCATATCACCTCATTCAGAGAGGAGCTCCAAGTATCTATCATAGCACATGCCAAAAGTGTCAATGGGTCATGTTTACATAGTTATGAACTATTAAAATTTTAGAATAACTTTCCTATTTAAAAGCTTCTTTTAAAAGTTTGCAATGCTTTTAAATTCCATTCTTACTAGTTAAACTGAATAAAAAGGATAGTTTAGAAAATAAATCTGAATTAGTTTAACTATAAAACTTTTTTTCCAAAAAATTTATGATTTCCTTTAATTTTTAGAAATTTCTTTAAATGTTATCTTCATCTGCTCAGGCTTCTGTAACAAAACATCATACATTCAGTAGCTTATTCACTACTCATAGCTGTGGAGGCCAAAAGTGTAAACTCAAGGAGACAGCAGGTTTGGTGTCTGGTGGGGGCTGCATCTCTGGCTCAGAGATGGTACCTTCTCACTGTGTCCTCACGTGATGGAAGGGTGAGGGAGCTCTCTGGAATGTCTTTTATAAGGGCACTAATCCCCATTAAGAGCTCAACCTTCAGATTCAATTACTTCCCCAAGACCCCTCATTGTAATACCATCACATGGGGATGATGGTTTCAACATATGGATTTTGGGGGAACACGAACATTCAGTCTGCAGTATATTTTTTTAGATAAGACTTATAGACTAGCATTAAATTTTTGTCCTCCAACACATGCCCAAATCCTCACTGCTAGTACCTGTGAATGTGCTCTTATTTGGAAACAGGATCTTTGCAGATGTCATTAAATCAAGGATATCAGAATGGTCTTAGATTTAGGCTATGCCCTAAATCAATAACCAGTATTGTCTTAGTCTGTTTTGTGTTGCAGTAACAGAATACTTGAGACTGGGTAGTTTACAAAGAATGGAAACGTGTTTTCTTGCAGTTCTGGAGGCTGGGCAGCTCAAGATCAAGGAGCCAGAATCTGAGTCCTCTCATGGCAGAAGGTAGAAGAGCCAAGAGGCAAAAGGGTACTGGACTCACCTTTTGACAATGACATTAATTCCTCGTGGCCAAGTCACCTCTGAAACTCCCACCTCTTAATACTATTAACATGGCAATTACATTTCAACATGACTCTTAGAGGAGACAAACATTAAACCGTGCCAAGTGTCCGTATAAGATAAAGGACAGGGAGATGCAAGATATGCAGAGGAGGAAAGGTCACACAGATAAAAAGGCTGGCATGGCGCAGTCATGGCCCAGGAAACCCAGGAGGTGCGGCAGTCATGGGAGCTGGGGGAGCAGAAAGAGCCACCCAACTGACACCTTGACTTCAGACTCTAGTCTCCAGGACTGCGAGAAAACAAGGGTCTGTGGTTTTAAGTCACTGAGTGTGTGCAGTTTGTTATAGCAGCCCTGGGAAACTAATACAGGACTTAAAAAAAATAAATACATTGAGGACACATGGCCATGAACTAGTATCTGTTCCAGATTCACCACAAGGTGTGCCTGCATGGTGTGTAGTATGGAGGGAAGGCTGGAAATTTAACTAAAATTAGCACATTGTTTCTTAAGATCTAGAAAAGGAACATCTGGTTAGACAGGAGCTGGTAATTCACTAATTAATGTCAGCATCTTGTAATAAAAATACAGCATGCAGCTCAATGCCATTTACATAGCAGGCCTTCATAGTAGTACCATGAAATGACTAATAAATAAATATAGAAATAGATTAATGCATTAGCAAATGAATAATTAGTGCTTATCATTCTTCACTAAAAACATGAAAGCCTTTCACATCTCACATTATTATTACTAAAATACTATTACTACGTAAGAGTCTCAAAATACTGACCAGCAGTCAAGCTTAAAATGCAACAATATTAAACAGCACAACAGTGACATCTGGACTCTACATCTAGAGACCAGCAAAGAACATATATGTCTGTCCTCTACATCTAGAGACCAGCAAAGAACATACATGTCTGTCCTCGGCCCCACAAGCCACGAATCGCCCACAGGGGCTGATGGCGATGCCACATGGATAGCCACGATTTGGGTGCCCTTCAAAGCGGCGCTCACACCTACCGGGAAGAGAGAAATGCCAGAAGAAAGGACTTTTAAATTTTCACACAAATTAGAGGAAAGAAACCAACTTGTTGATTCTCTTTACAAAAAGAAACAAACTAATAGTGAAAGAATATTTTATGTGTGAGAATTGTTAAATGGTAAACAGATTATTCCTGAGTACTTTAACAATAATTCAAATACTTTTCAAAGTCTTAAATTCTCAAAGATGATAAAACTATCAGTAAATGAATTTTTTATATATAAGGAATATTAAATGATAAATGTATTCTAGAGTTCTTTAAAGGTATGAAAACAAACCTTCTAAAACCATAAATTGTTTAAATAAATTATAAAACTTTCAGCAAATGAAACATTCTATGAAGGATGGTTAAGTTTGACAACTACTTATAAAGTGGCTGTAAAAAATGAGTATATCATAAAAGGTATCAGGAATTCACACTAATTTTATTGAGAGGCCCTCCAACACCTTTGGGGATAAGCAGAGCCTTCCTAAAAAAGTGTCAGCAGGAGCTGGGCTCAGTGGCTCAGCCTGTAATCCCGTGTCTTTGGGAGGCTGAGGTGAGTGGATTGCCTGAGCCCGCAGGTTCGAGACCTGCCTGGGCAGCAAGACCTCATTTCTACAATAAATCAAAAAAAAAATCAGCTGGGTGTGGTAGTGCATGCCTGTAATTCCAGCTACTTGAAAGCCTGAGGCGGAAGGATTGCCGGAGCCCAGCAGGTCGAGGCTGCGGTGGCCGGAAGCGGCCACTGCACTCCAGTCTGGGCAACAGAGTGAGACTCCAACTCAAAAAAAAAAAATAAAGAAAGTGTCAGCAAGCATTTGCCAGCATGGGACTGGGGACCACAGACACCAATGCCAGCGGGGTACCTGTCCAAGGTGCCCGAAGTGGTAGAGAATCTCTTCCCCGCATACTGGCTGGATGGGCTTTCGTCCTTGCCCAGTAACTGAAGAGCAAAGATGCTAACTATGTGGTTATGTGCACAAACATGTACATGCATACAGACGCTCAAATACCAATTTTATCACACTGTTATACTCTATATATTCAGTGATTGTCTTCCAGAAGGTAATTATCAGGAGGTGTGTGTATACTTTTTTTTTTTTTTTTTGCTTAAAGGAGATTTTATATATTTATATGAAATATAAGACATATACAATTCACAGAACATATGTGGCAAACACTCTCTAAATTAAGCATATGACCGGAAAAAATCTGGAACAGTGTCACTGCCTAAACTGTCTAGCTTTGGAAGACAGAAAGCTAGTCACAACAAAAAGATATGCCCTTGTCTAGTTATAGTTTTTCCTTCCATGTATCTGGCTGTAAAATAAAAAAGGACTTGTACAGCTCTACATAAGCAATTTAATAACACTTTTACTTTTAAAATAAATATACATTTTTTTTATTCCCTCAGAAAAGTAGGTCTGCTGACCTACTGCAAGAACCATACTTATTTCAATATTGAATAATTAATATTTATGAGAATGATTTATATTTCCAAAACTAGTTTAGGAAAATGATTTAAGGCAGTTCAGCCAAATATTTGTTATTAGTTGGTTTCCCATACAGTGTCTGTGGTTCCACGATGTTACAGCAGAGATTCTCAGTAAGTCTCCTGGACCTTAAAAGCTGCTGCCCAAATTCTCTGATGACCACAAATAACAAATCATCAAATTCGAAGTATCCAGCTTTCAAGGAGAAGTGACTATCTGTAGTAAAGCACTATCCCTATGAGACAAGGTGATGGAGCTGCAGGAGGCTGACATGGTACCCCTGTTGGCAAGAGCACAACAGGTGAAGACACCCTGTGGTCACACAGACCGTCTACACTCGTGCCCTGTGCAGCTACCACCTTGAGTGCTCAGACAACAAACAAAGCTATTTAAGAGTAGAATGCTCCTATGCAACTGTGTGTCTGGCTACATCATATCTTAATTTGTTCATTCTGTCTCTGAAATTCAGTGTCTTATGGATTGAATGCCCACTATGTTCTAGGTAGTACCAACTCTGTAGAGATAATTCTACTGGAAAAATTCTGTAGCTGGTGATAGATGGTCATAGAAGGCGGTATGATGAATGGGTGTGAAGGCCTAGGCCATCACCGCTCACCACTATAGACTTTATGAACACCAGACACTTAGGTTGCACCAAAAGCATACCAAATAGTTTTCTTTCTTCAATATTAAATTATTCTTACCTTACTGTAACATTTTTACTTTATAAACTTATTTTCTTATCTTTTGACACTTTTGCAATAACACTTAGCTGAAATACATTATATGTCTATACAAAAATATTTTCTTTCTTTATAGCCTTATTCTATAAACTTTTTCTATTTAATTCTCTTTTAACTTTGTAAACTTTTTTGTTAAAAACTTAGACACAGCACACACCTTAGCCTAGGCCTGCACAGGGTCAGATCACCAACATCACTGTATTCCACCTCCACTGCTTATCCCACTGGAAGGCCTTCCGGGCCATATCTGGCATGGAGATGTCACCTCCTAAGGTAACAGACCTCCTGAAGGATCTGCCCGAGGCTATTTTACAACTTTTTTTTTTTTTTATAAGTAGGAGGAGTACCCTCTGAAATACTGATAAAAACTACAGTGCAGCAAATATGCGACAATAGGCGTTTCCAAGTATAGTGTAGCAAATACTTGACAATAGGTGTTTTGTTACACTCTTATGACACCACCATCATACAGTCCTTAACCAAAACGTCATGAGGCAGCAAGTGACTGTACAAATAAATTCTCATAGCTAATGTGAAATAATGATAGTAACCCTGCACATAAGTTTTGTTATTGCCTTCATTAATAAGGAAGCAAATATTGTTATATCACAAATGTCCAAATATTTTGATAAATGTATGTCAGTGTAAATGGCTTTCTTTGTAATCCTATATATTTCATTTTATGCATTTAAAAACCTTCTTCAAAAAGTGTCCAAAGTTGTTCATCACCAAATTGTCAATGGCAAAGGCAACAAGGTTAAGAATCCTTATCCTAGCCGGACTCAGTGGCTCAGCCTGTAATCCCGCGCCTTTGGGAGGCTGAGGTGAGTGAATTGCCTGAGCTTGAGGGTTCGAGACCCACCTGGGCAGCGAGACCTCATCTCTACAATAAATAAAAAAATCAGCCGGGCGTGTTAGCGCATGCCTGTAATTCCGGCTACTTGGAAGGCTGAGGCGGAAGGATCGCTGGAGCCCAGCAGTTCGAGGTTGCGGTGGCCGGGAGCGGCCACTGCACTCCAGTTTGGGTGACAGAGTGAGACTCCAACTCAAAAAAAAATTAAAATAAAATAAAATAATAATAATAATAAAAAAGAATCCTTATCCTAAAAGATTTATACATATCTTGCTGCCAAGACAAGGTGCTTTCTAACTTTTGTAGAATATATGTTCAAAGTCCACCAAAGCAACTAAAACAGGCATGATGTAGAACGAAAACTGATTTAACGAAATACTCTCCCCAAAGAGATAGGTGCCCTGACGAGGTAGGAAAAGTAGACTCGGAGAAGGGTGCTGTCACCCCACACCCTGTGAGCAGTGCTCACCCGTGGGGAGCAGGGCATCCCACCTTGGAATCATTGCAGTTTAAGCACACCAGTTGCCTCCCTCCCTGCCTCGGATACTGAGGGCGCTTTCGGTTACCCTCCTGAGCTACGGGTATGGAAAAGGAGAGGCCAGTCCCCAGTACCTCACCATTCCAAACCTACAGTCACCTGTTCTGTGCATAAGTCAGTCTTTTCTTAGGTTGGCCTCTGTGCACAGATTAACCACAGTTTATCGCATTTGGAAAAGAAACAGAGTTGGCTTGCAGCTCTCAAGCGCCCCCCCCCCCCCCCCCGCAAGACTGGGTGCAGCCAGGCCTCACCTCAGTGTTCTCAGGTCCCACAGTTTTATCCCATCACCAATGGCCACAGTCAGGAAAAGGTTATACATCTGGAATTGTTGGGCTGTAAATGCTGATCCCTGCAATTATAAGGGGGAACATCAAGATGCGTGTTTAAAGGTGAGTTCATCAGCATCACACTAATGGCATCTAATAATATCTGAGACTAAAAAAAAAAAAAAATCAGCACAAAGTTTTCCTTTTTATAACAATTTAAGAATTAGACTCCAAAAATTTTCACATAAAGGAATTAAGGGTAGTACGTTTTAACCTTGAGCATCACTGCTGCATGCACTCTCTAAAGTAATGTCGCTGAGAGCTGCAGAACTATAAAACAGTCAAAGCCAAAAGACAAAGCTGGTAACAAATCAACATTTATTTTTAAAGTGTCAATCATAAGTCATATGCAATAAGTCACCTGAAAGACACCCCTGACGAAAGCACTGAAAGTTAAGGTCAATTATTGATCTGCTGACGACCAAGCCTGAGATGCTCCAAAGATTCCTGTCTGCTTGGTGCAGTCACCTGCTGAGGATCCCTGTAAGGTCCCAGACCCAACTCCAATCTGTTCTCTTCCCCATGCTGCCATCAGAAAAAATGTTGTTGTAATCTAAAACGTATCACTGAATTAAGTTAAACTGAGCTCCATCTAGAACCACTTGGCACAAAATATTACTTCAGGATATGCTGATTCATAATGATCTCCATCTTCCTTCCACGTCAAGCATATCCAAAATATTAAGACAAATTTCATGAAGAATAGCCATGGCATTTATGCTTAAAATATACCCAGAAGTCATTCTTTACTCACAAACAGGAAGTAAGTTCAATAATGAATAACAACTAATATATACTGAGTCTTACTCTGTGGCAGACAGCATTCTAAGCATTTCACAATAGTTTATGCAATACAAACTATTTCATACCCATTTATAAGCAAGGAATCTGGCACACAGAGTCCTTTTATTGTCTCACAGCTATAAAGCACAACACAGTTCAGTGTCCCACAAACTGGCCCCAGGACAGGATAGCTTGATAACTCCTAGTATGACATAAAAATAATTTAGCAGACATCCCACAAATATTTAGAGACTATCTACCAAATGTTGGCATTATGTAAGGCTCTCAGGAAAAAAGAAGGAAGCAAAGGCCGAGTCTCGTGAAAGAGACAGACGTTGGCAGTGGCAGCTTCCCACAATTGCAAGTTTATTGAGGCTGAAAAGTAGAAAACCGAATAGAACAGATACAATATTTAAGGGTCAAATCTTTCAAGGGACAAAGAATTTTAAAATATTTTATTCAATCCAATAGAGGGTGAGGCAGAAAAAAGAGAAAAAAAACCCAAAACTATTCATGATCAGTAGAAAGCACAAACATTTCTAAAAGTAGGTGAAAACTCAGGTCTGGTGTGGTAGCTCATGCCTGTAATCCCAGCACAGCAGAAGTGAAAGGATTCCTGAGTCCAGGGGTTCAAGGTCAGCCTGGGCAATTTGGCAAGACTTAATCTCTACAATAAATCAAAAAATTATCTAGGTATGGTGGTGCATGTCTGGGGTGTGTAAGGATTGCCTGAGCCCAGCAGGTCGAGGCTGCGGTGACGATGATCATGCCATTGCACTCCAGCCTGGGCAAAAGAGTGAGACTACAACTCAAAAAGAAAAAGAAAAGTAGACGAAATATCACAAAATAATATCAAATTTTTGAACAACCATAATAATTGCAAACAGACTAAACTCAACAAGAAAGAGAAGATATTCTTAGGTTAGATTTTAAGAAAAACACTTAAAGCAATTTTTAAAATATACATTTTAAAGTGAAAAGTAGGAGGAAAACAGCATATGCTAACTACAAGGAGGCAAGATTGCATGAGCACTAGAAAAAATAGAGATAAGGCAAGAAAGCCTAATTAGAAGTAGTTTCTTTAAAAAAAAAAAGAAGAAGAAGATAAAAGGAACAACTACACATGAAAATATAAAAAGCCTGAATTTAATATGCCTAACAACATGACCCTTAAATACATAAAGCAAACACTAATAAAATTATAAAGAGAAACTGGCAAGATTATATCCATAGAAGATTTTAACATATTTCTCTCACTAGTAAAAAAAAAAAAATCAGGCATACAAAATATTAAAAAGACTTGAACAATTTAAAAATAATAACAAAGTGAGCCTATGAATATCATGCAAACATGTACCCAATAGTAGCAAAAAAACATTATTCTCATATACATGTGTAGTATTTATACAAACCAAACCAAAATTAAGTTTCTCAATAGATGCAAAATCTCAAAAGATACCAAGAAAATCAATACTATGCAGATATCGAGCACTTGCTCTGAATACAATGCCTTAAAATTAGAAGTCAATAACCTAAAGAGTTTACCAAATTAACTTATAAACGTGGAAACTGAAAAGCACACATCTAAAGCCTGAGTTGAAAATAAAATAATGAAAATTAGAAAAATAGTATATGCCAAAACTGGCAGAGTGCATTACAGCATTATTCAGAGCCTGTAATTACAAAGGCTTAGGTGCATTTGTCAAAAATGCAATGGAGTGGATGAAAAGCAAACACGTAACATGAAGTAAAAGTCAAGAAGCACAAAGATGCCATTTGATGCCATCACCTAAAAGCGTTTAACAATGCACTGTGTTGCTTCTCAATGAACACTTGGGAAAGACCTACACCAAGTTCAGTAGCTGTTATCAAGTAAACTGGGAGGAATAGATGAGGGTACACTTTTATCTGCATCAATAATCATTTCATTTCTTTTTTGAAAAATGTAGCAAGATTTAAAAGAAAGCAAAATAATACCCATGACTATTTCTGAAACCTAAAATCTTCTGTATATCAAAATTATTTCATTTAAAAAGCTTTTTAAGCCCTTACATTTTTTATTTTTCAATTCAAATTAGCTGTCTAGTACTAGATATTTACATTCCCCCAAGAAGCAAATATCTTATTCAGAGACAGAAAAACAGGAATAATATCTTGTCAAGTTTTAAAAATATATATGGTAAAAACACTTGCCATGATTTTTAAATATTTCAGTGATCATAAAAGTCTCATGTACTCTCATTCTAAAAATGAGCCACTTAATGATATAATACACGGCTTAAAACAGGAAGCATGACCACCACTTTTTGATGTACTTGGCACTCTAGCTAATACAGTGATAAAATGAGTTGAATTCTAAAATAACTAGGAATAATTCTCAGAAGAGATTATTTTAGTGGTGGTGCTCACCAAAAAAAAGCATTACTGATGCATGACTAATGTGGTTATTCTGGTTACTAATCTCAAAAGAAATCAGAAATGGCCTATGTTATATTTTACTGGAAATACAGCATTTGGGCCAATTACGACCTGAGCTTCTGTGTGAGGATGTGTAGGATGACTACATGAAAGGAACAATCCCATACAGGTGTGGTTAGTGTGAACACTTGATATACATTGCACAACAGAACAAAAATTCAAGAGAAGTTAAAAAAAAACTATTAAAAAACAATAGCGTTAAACCCTAGTAACCTTATACTTTTGCCTTTTCATCCTATCAAATACCATTCGGAGCTTTATTTTCAGGAAGTAAAACCAGTTATTTTCCCATAAAAAGCCTCAGAACTATTTTTCCTAATACACCACCTCCCATCTGCGAGCACACCACAGTGATTTGCAGAACACCACATTAGCCACTGGGAGGCTGCATGGCTTTGAGAGGGTACCGCTCCCCCTGTCATGGCTCAAGCTGTTATAAAGTGTAGGTGTGTCAAACAGTTCCCTAAAGCACAAACTCTCAACAAAAAGACATTTCAAAAGCGAGGAACTCTCCTTCATTGGTAAGTTTGATGGTCATGGTGTTGTTCCAGGAAGGCAGGCCACCCCTAACCCACACCCCTTACAAGCGCTCCCAGGCCCACCTGTAGAAGCAACCTCATCTGAGCACGTGTAGTGAAACGACGAGGCCTCTTCTGGCACAACTCAGATGGGGAGTGCCACTTTGAGTACCAATGTCAACTGTCCAGGGGTCCAGAGGGAGAAGACAGCACTTCCAGCCTTCAGTTACTACCTGAAGATGGATTAAATCGTAAACCTACCTCCCAGCCCAGGCCACCGCCATCTCCGGAGCTGCCTCTCTGCATTGCCACCTGCGCCCGAGTCTCCTGCCTTCAGGACCCGGGAAGGAGACAGGTACCACAGGGCATCCGAGCAGAGGTCAACTGGAGGAGTTGTCTCATAAGGCTGCTACTGATGGAGGAAGCACACAGGGGAAGAGCCTGGAGGGGCCCTGGACTGGTGCCCACATGGGCGAGAGCTTTGGGGAGTGCGTGAAATGCAGCTGCTCCTGGGCATAGCTCTATGGGAGCTGCCTCCAGGGGGAAGGGTGGTCTCCAAAGAAGATCCCATTGCAGTCTCCTGCAGCGCCCTCCTGGTCATGCTGGAAAGTCTAGTTTTCAGCGCCGAACAGAGCAAATCGGGAGCACATGTACCTTCCCGGGGGTCCACTCGCACCAGCAGATGAGGTGTGCAGCCTCTCCCCAAACCGAGACTAGATTCAGACAATCACGTGCCCAGCCCTAGCTACAATAATCCCACTCCCTAACAGCACAGTCCCTCTCACCACAAGGCATCTCCCTAGGCTTGAGTGGTGATGCTGAGTTGAGCCACCGAGCATAAGCCCCTTGCAGCTGGGACCAGGCACCGTGCCCTTCTCTCATCACACATCTGTACACACAACACACGTCATGAACTCACATTCCTGCTCAGGTTCTGTGATGGGGCCTTGTGTACCCAGAGAAACCCCAGAGTCCCAACAAGGGCCATCCAGCCTACAGGACTGTTCCCTCTCTCAGTCAGACCTCTGACATCCTTGCCCTCAGCCTCGTGACATGGCCCCACTCCTGGCACTCTGCTCCCCCAGATGTACGTCTGATCCTTCCCTCCTCCACAACTGGCCGCTCCCCTGTTCCTGACCAGTACAGAGCACTTGACCCTGTGTGAACATGTGTGTTCTTCTGTAAGGTGCATGCTCCTCACATACAAGGACTCTTTACACGTGTATTTATGGAACAGTGCCAAG